TCTATTTTTTTATTGCTGGGACAGTTGGAAATTCCATAAAGCAAAAAATAGGGTGTCTTGACGTTGCTGTAAAATATGAGATTTAAGGTATGAAGAAGGGAGATGTGCACCTCACTTGTACTAAGGTCCTTACAGAGAATTGAAAATCAAGCAGACAAACGAACGACACGAGCACTCTGATGGTTCAGCAGTGTCCTTCACGAACAGTGTCTGTAAGTGACGGCTAGAGTGTTCAAAGAAGAGGGACTCCGAGTCTTTCGTGCATTATCTATTCTGTGCACTGAAGTAGCTCTATTAGTTTGAGATGATTCAAAATGTAAGTTAACAAGTCTAAGGACTTACAAAGTATAATAACATCATATAACTTTCAGTTATCTAATTTAGGAATATGTAATTCTAAAAAGAAGCTGGAGAGTAAGTGGAATTGTCTCTAGCAATGTTATTTTATGGGTTGTTACTTAACTTATAAATTTTTTGTTATTTATTCATCTTGACATATGAATAGGCTATTCGTTGTAATTATATTACAGTTCATGGGCTTCTCACAATTTCCACTAAGAAAGCCTAATTTAGTTTTCGCCTTATTTAGTTTACTGTATTTGTTCTCTAATAATTTATTTTTGTAATCTTAATAAAAATGTTAGTATGTTCCAATATACATATATTAAAATGCACACATGTACCTGTGCACTTGTGTACTATATATGCAGTAAAACATATACACAGTAGACATTTTAAAAGATTAAAGATGAAATAATTAACATTTAAATTTAAAACTTTCCATTGAAGCTCAAAATAAGAACAGTATAACTAGATATTCATTATTTTGGAAACTCTTGGTTTAACACTGTACCATGGCCATTTGAGTTTGATCTTTTCCTAATAGGCATTATTTTTAAAAATAGTTTTAGATTCACAGAAAAATGCAGGAGATAGTATAGGGCTTCTATGGACCCTGCACCCAGTTTGCCCTATTATTAACTTCCTACATTAATATGGTACATTTTTTACACCTAATATCCAATAACTAACGGCAATAGTTCATTCAGACTTCTTTTAACCTAATACCCCTTTCTGCTCCAGGATCCCATCCAGGACATCACAACACATTTAGTTGTCATGTCTCCTTAGGCTGCTCTTGAGTGTGGTAGTTCCTCAGACTTTTTTTGTTTTTGATGACCTTCACAGTTTTAAAGAGTGCTAGTCAAACATTTTTCAGGGTGCCTCTTTAATGGAATGTGTCCTTTGTCTGACGTTTTTCTCATAGTTATCCTGGGATTATGGTTTTGGGGAAGATCACAGAAAGGCAGCGTCATTTTCACCAGATCACATCAAAGTTACAATCTATTAACATGATATTTCACTGAGCTCAGGTCACATGGTAAGTTGGTAGCTCATGGGTAAGCATTCAGTGTCCTCTGCAGCCCGGTAGGAAGCCAAAAGCTGTTTCTCAAAAGTAGAGGAGTTATCCACAGGGCTTTGCTCCAAAATCCTAAGGGTGTGCATTGTAATTCACTTCTAGGTGTTTGCCAAAGACTAAAAATAGCAGCTCTTTGTACCACTGACACTTCAAGCACCATTAAATCTACTGGATTATGTGACTCAAGTGGCAGAGCAGCCTGGAGCTGTTGCAGCTTTCTCTTCTCTCACTAGTTGTCGTGCCTTTTTTAAAGTAGTAGTAGTAGGGGCCAAATAGAGACACTTATTCCTTTCCTTGATATACTCCACACCATTGGGCCCCTAGAAATTTCACTGAGTTAGAAGGCACTTGAATTTTAGGGGATTTATTTCCCATCCTCAAGTATGCAAGTATCTTATCAATGTGTGTACAGTGATTTTTTACTTCCTATCTACCAGGACTAATCAGCATATCATCATCAATCTGACAGAGCAGTGTGATGTTCTGTGAAAGGGAAAGAAGAGAGGGATGGAGGTCCCTGCAGACTAAATCATGATGCAAGGCCAAAGGGTTGCTCTGTACTGTGTTTGAACAGTGAGAATGTACTGCAGGCCTTGCCAGTTGAATTAAATTCCTTCCGGCAGTCTTTTTCAACAAGTATAGAGGAAAAAAGCATTTGCCAAATCAATAGCTGTGTACCAGGTAATAGGGAATGTGTTGATTTGCTTAAGCAAGGAAACCACATCTGGAAAAACAGTGCAACTGGAATCACCACATAATTAGATTTACAAAAATCCTCTGTCGTTATCCAAGGTCCAGCTGTCTTCTGAACATGCCAAATAGGTGAGCTGAAGACAGGCATGGTGGGTAGCACAACCTCTGCAATTTTCAAGTCCTTGATGGTGGTGCTAGTCTTTACAATTCCTCCATGAATGTGGTATTGCTTTTGGTTTACTTTTTTTTTTTTTTTATGTAGAAACAGTTCTAGTGGCTTCCATTTGGCCTTTCCTACCTTCACTTTACAGGTCAGGGAACAAATATGGGGATTCTGCTAGTGGCTGAGCACGTCTCTTTTAATCATGCATTCTGGAGCTGGGGAGATAACCACAGGATGTGTTCAGACACCCCCCTCTCCCCCGCCCCGGGCCTGATGTGAGATGAACCTGAGCTAAAGCTCCATTGAACTCTTGATTTCCCTAAGCCCCTACTGTGATAGGGAGGCACAATGATGTTTGGGGTTTCCATGAATTAGTGTCAGATTAGAGCCTTGTGTTCTAATCCCTCCAAAGTCCAACTAGTTCTTTTCCCTCACTGAACAGTCGCCCTGGTAGATGGCCACAGGACCCTCTGGGGAAACCTGGGGACAAGAATAACATTTTACATTTTTGATAATGTAGCAAGGCACTTGCTCTGTGCCTTCCCTTCATTCAAAGAGTTCTGGGTGTATAAACTGACTCAAGTCTAGAAACTGCAACATTTCTGATTACTGCTTTAGTTCAGCTGTCCATTGCAGTAACCACGCCCACCTAGTGTTTGGCAACTTAGTAACACCCTTGGTTCATGCCAACCTGGGATCCCATAATCCGCACTGCTTTTAGGAATCCAGTTTGATGGTAGAAGTTTCTACTTTAGCGTATATCTGACTCCAGAGAACAGCAATTGCATTTTTCTTCAAGGATGCTGGGGCTCCCCTCACAAATTTAGTTTTCAATGTCATGGTGAAAGGTAATGTCCTCTGAACCCTCCTGGGATGGGTGAGCAGGTCTTACATAAAAAATACACTCTACTATTCCAATGTCCCCATGACTTTGGATGGATTCCTCTACAATATCTTAGGCAGTTCTGGCACTTCATTTAGTGTAGACATTCTTGGGTGGATGGAAGTCAAGTGATGAAAGGAACTATAAATTCAGCCCAATACCACTTTATAATCCTTTATCTTGATCCCTGTAATTAGTTTCCTCCGGATGCTATAGAGAAGTAGCACAAACTGAGTGGCTCAAAACAACAGAAATTTACTCTCTTGCAGTTCTGGAGACTACCTACCCAAACTCAAGTTGTCAGCAGGGCTGTGTTTCTTTGGCGTAAACTTTCCTTCTCTCTTCCTAGTTCCTACTGGCTCTTGGTATTTCTTGGCTTGAAGCTACCCACTCCAATATCTTCTTCCATCTCCATGTGTCTCTATTACCTCTGTGTCTACATATCTCTGCATGCTCTCCTTTTATAAGGACACCAGTCATTAGATTTAGGGCCCAGACTAATCCAGCAGTGCCTCATCTTAATTGATTAAATCTGCAAAGAACCTATTTCCAAACAAGGTCACATTGAGGTTCCAGGTGGATATGACTTTTGGGGGACACTATTCATCCAAATATTATCCCACACTTTTAATATCCATAAAATATAATCCATATATTCTTTTCTTTGATTTTTTAAGCATGGGCATTTACTACAATTTCAAGTAAAATTAAAGGGAAAAAAACCCCATAGTTCTTTGCCTCAAAATGCAAATATTCTTTCCATCCAGCTTCTCCCTTTCGTGCCCACTACCATTAATCTCCCTAAACTGATTAATCTCCCAGTCTCGCCCTTTTCCAATCTTCTAACTACAGAGTGATATTCCAAAATGACATCCTTCCTGTCTTGCAACAAGGATCAAGCACAAGCTCCCTAGTCAGCCTAAGGTGGCTTTTCATGTTCTGATCTCCAATATCCTTCTTCCAGTTTCATCTTTCAACAAAATCCCCTGCTACCTACTTGTTTTGCCCCCAAATGCTTGCAGGTTTCTGAATTGCCATGCCCTTCCCTCCTTCTCTACCCGGTTCTGCACTGATCGCTCAGCAATGCCCCTTGCACCCATGACCACTGCTCATCTTTAGAGGCTACTCCTCTATTCCCTTCCCAGTGATGAATCATTTTCACTTTCAGATCTTTGAAGTCTGTTAATATTTTCCCTTTGTTCTTGTTCTTCTTAAATCAAAATTTCTCTCTGAAAGAATACATCCCAAGAACACACACTGCTGCATTTGCTCAACTGTCCAGTGGAAGAGGTTTGCCTTTCCCGCTGTCTTGGAGGGGAGTGACCGGAACTCCAAGGCCAAAGCCCTCTGGGCTGGGGGAGGGGGAGAAGGCGGATCTTGAAGGAACTGTCAAGAAAAGGCAGGCAAGCCGTGCATCCCTCAGTCTGCCCACGTCCCTCTCTTCATAGTTGAGGAAACCCAGGTCGGTGTAGAGCGACACTCGGAAGACCAGAGTGACACTGCGTGGTGACCAAACACGTTAGCGCCCTTTACCCCTCAGGCAGATTTTTCTGGTCCTCCTAATTGAGGAGTCCCGCCACACAACGACTCCTTCCCTCCTCTAATGCCGCAGGATGCCCAAAACATCGAGGACAAGCAGAGAGCACTGCAAATTCGCGGAAAAATGATGGCTAGAAGGGGCGGAGCATGCGCAGTGACGAAGCCGTCCCTGACGCCTCCACGCCCACAGCCCAGCCCACGCATGCGCAGGCACAGACTTCCAGTCCACAGACAACCAGTCCCGGCCGCGCCCCCCTCGGCGAGGGTCAGAGGCCACAGGGCGGGCAGCAGTGACGTGCGCGGAAGCGCTCTGTGCGCTCTCGGAACCGAGCAGGCGGCGCCAGCGGCGGCGGTTGCTTCTTCTGTCGGGCGCTCTGACGATAAGGGCCCTGGATCGCTCGGAGGTGCTGACCTCCTGCCATCGCAGGTTGCCCCATGAGTCGGGGGACCATGCCCCAGCCTGGAGCATGGCCAGGCGCAAGCGGTGCGGAGAAGCTGGTGCGGGAGGCGGGGGCCGCGCCCCCCGGCCCCGCCAGAGTCGTGGTGTTGAGCCAGGCGGAGCAGTGAGTTGCGGAGCGCTGCGGGGGTGGCGTGGGGCCCCGGGTTCAGTTCCCTCTGGAAGCCTGGGCGCGGGGTGGACTAGGGAGTAGCCGGCAGAGGATCCTTTGTACCCTTGATTCTAAGCAAGCTAGTTGGGGACAGAGAGGAGTTTAAAGACACTTGTGACCAGGGTCCGAGTACTGATGTTTTTCGGGAAGGTCTCTCTCACAATTATGGTTACCTAGTGCCTCTTCCTCCCTGTTTTGGCTATCTCCATACCTCTAAAGCCCAAGAAAGCTCCGGCTGCTTGGGAAACAAAACCTCGAAGAGTATTATAACTAACACCCAGTGGATTTTCCCTTCAACCGAGTAGGAAAATTCAGCCACGCAGCACGTGTGTTCTGGGGAGGCAAGTCGTCGCTTGATGATGGTCCCACCTGTTGGATAGATTTTGGACGGAGTCTGACCCAAATCTGTTTGGCTTGTTAACGACTTCACCAGATACCCCGTCTCCCTCTTTATTGTTAAATACGGAAGGCCGTGCTGTGCCGGTTAGCCAGTTCCTTGCAGAACTGTGAAGAAGGCGGCATAAAGGCATAAATCGGAAGCCTTTATAGTTTCTGCAAGGGGGTGGGTGTGGAAGCAGAACATAAACTTGAAGGCTGAAACTTTTTCTACACTTTCCAAGTTCTAGGCCCATACAAATACCTTTGAGTTGCAAAATTGAGGAAAGCATTCAGATAACCAGTTTGACAGATAGATTAATTGGCTGGAAAATTGAATTGTAAGGTGCACTTAAATGTGCTTTTTTTTTTAGCTTTGCATTTCCTTAAAAGGGGCCCATTGCAGGCCTGCTATGCAGAAAGTGTATTATAACTCTTCTTTGCATGCTGCTTTACTGTGGGCTATGACATTCTCATTTATTGAGCACCATACCCTTTGGGATGTCATGGTCCATGCTTAAATGGCCACTGGGAAGTATTTAGAGCAGGGTATCTCAAACTCCGGCCCCCAGGAGTGAGGCAGGTAACTTGAGTAAAGCTAGACAGGCGTTCCTGGAAAGCAGCGCCCACCTCTGTTCAGGTTAGGTCTGCTAAGTTTCAGATTGCGGTGGCAGACTTTTCTGTATTTAAAGAAATCCAGCTACCCTGACTGTTGTGTGGACTGCCCTGATTTTTTCAACAGTAGCATTTTATTTTACTCAGTGGAAACCACTGAGCAGGCTCATGTGTGAGCTGATGTGACCTGTGGCTCCAGTTTTGCTCCCCAAGTTGGAGACATACCTCAGACTCCAGCTGGTAAAGTAGGCTGAGCCCCTTCTGCCTCTGCCCCTCCCCCCTCACAGCCCCTACCCCACTAACTGCTACTGCTTCACTTTTGTCCCTACCTGAGGGCCCTGGCCCTTGGATGGTGCTGCTCAGCCTCCACCTGAACAGTTCCATGTAGCGTGATGCAGAAACTATGACATCAGAATTACATTTCTCAAAGTATGCAGTTATTCGGCAGCTTCTCCTGCTGGATGTGGTTCCCTGAGTCGGAGTACCTGGGGAAATGGGTCATGTTGCGGAAGAAGCACTTCTCCCTGATGAAAAGGTTTTGTGGCCTCTTCTGTCTGCTGTCAGTAGGATTATGGACTTAGTGATGAAAGGAATCTAAAAAAAACAGCCTAGATGTGTCATTTTACACATTATGACACCAAGTTGTGGATGGATAGGTCCAGTTTGATCAGGGAGACACAGGGAGGAGGTTCAGGGCCAAGTTCCCTGGTGTCTGGGTAGGAATCTCCTCTCCTCTTTTTCTGGCTTCCTCAGCAGTGCAGGCAGAGGGATGTGATTTGTGACAGTGAACTTAAGATTTTTCTTTTCTGGAATAGATGTTTCAGTTTGCGGTTTATTTAGGGCTTAATTTCCTTTTTCCCTGCTCTCATTGTCTTTGATGACCTCATTCTCCTTTAACTCTCATAAGAGCATAAGAGAGGGCAGGGAAGGGAGGTGAAGATTACTTCAGGTGTCAACAAATTCTGAACCTCTCTTCTTGTATTTTGAATCTTCTTGCCTGTTATGTAGGCAGCAAGACACTCTCTTTGCTCTGTGATCTTTTCTTAAGGGCTGGAGAAACTGCTTCCTGTATCATGTAAACTGCTTATTTTATACTTTGCAGTATAATGTGTGCACATCAATTCTTACATGATGAAATATGCGGCCTAATAGTTGGGTATAGATTTAAATAAATAGTGTAATACCTGAATTACAACCTAAAGTAATTTTTAACATGTGTTTTTCTGTCATTGGAGCCAAGTCTGTTCTTCTCACTCAAAGAATTGGGTTTGGCCTGCACAGGAATTGAGTAAAATTTTCACACCTGAATGTATGAAATACCATAAACTTCAGATGGGATACCCTGAAGTCATTTTTAATGCATTCAAAAGACAGTAATTATTAACATAAACCATAGCCCAACTTGGTAGCCATTAATCATATGGGCTGTGATTCTTTGGAGATGAATCACATCTCCAAAGAATCACAGTGTGGTGATGGGTATGGGAAGGGATGGACCATTTCCCAGGCAGTACTGTAACACACGGATTCCTCCAGACTAGTGATTTTCAACCAGTGTGCTGCAAGAATTCTTATAACATTCAATACCTGCCCTGGCCAGGTGATTCAGTTGGTTGGAGCATCGTCCTGTGCACCACAATGTTGTGGGTTTGATTCCCAATCAGGGCACATACCTAGGTTGGGGGTTTGATCCCCCATTGGGGTACATGCAGGAGGCAGCCAATCTGCATTTCTGTCTCTCTCTCCCCCTCCCTCTCCCCTTCCCTCTCCCTAAAATCAGTAATAAAAAATATTCTTGGGTGAAGATTAAAAACAGCAACAAAGACCACAAAAAACATGCAATAACTGACCATTTAGTCAAGGGTACTGACTTCTTTCCCCTTTGATTACCCAATAAAAAAATGACAACAGCCAACACAACAATAGCCATCCCGTGTGAATGAATCAAAATTATACCTATTTTTTTGTCAGATTAGCAAATGTATTTTTTGGTGTGCCATGGCATTTTAGTAATTCGGTTGCATGTACTATGAGGTGAAACAGGTTGAATATCTCTGCTGTGGACTAAGCTCACTGTATTTAGCAAGGGAGAGAAATGACTTAATAACCACGTGGATGAGCTACTTTCTAAATCTTCCCTCTATCTGTCTCCCCTCTCCTTCCTTCCTTTCTTTACTCCTTACCTCATGTGAGAGTTGTGGTTGATCGGCATCCCCCCGACAGCCCTGAGGATGGCTCACAAGGTAACTTAGTGTTTAAAGATACCTTAGATCTGGCCAGATTCAATTGAACTTTTTTTGAAGCTTCCTCATTGCTTGTATCAGCAGGTCTCTTATACTTTATCTCCATTCCTCATTTGAAACCTATGCTATATCCACTTCTTGCTCTTAGCTAAGCTAATCCATACTATAGTCCCTGCTGACCAAGATGGTCTTAAAACATCGTTGGTGGTCAGGCCAGACGTGCTTAGGAAATTGAGAAGTGAGACGGCTCCATGGCCTTTCTCTGTCTGCCTGATACTGGGCCAGGGCTTGAGTCTGGGGTCCATAGGCTGACCGTGGGTTGGCGGGTGGGGGCATATCTGAAATTCAAGGCAAAATTCTGTGTGTATTTATATTTTTCTGGGCCGAGCTTCTGATGAAAGCTGTGGATTCGCAAAAGGTCTGTGAACAACAAATTGTTAAACCGTTGTTCCTGGTTGTTGCTAAATACACTATTGTGCCAATGTGTTGTTCTACCCTCCTCACACTTCAGGAGCTCCTAGGATCTATAGTTGATGGAGTAACAGCTACTCCCTCCCACTATTTCCCCCGCCTAGATGTAGAGCCTGCTTCCAGGTTCAGAGCCTGCTTCCAGGTTCAGAGCCTGGGTGTCTCTGAGAGTCAAACCTCATTGTTGAGGGTTCTGGGTTGTCCCCAGATACCTTTGGAAGTCACATGGAATAGCATGAGCCAGTCGTGGAAAGTCCAGTTTCAGGAGGGAGGTGGAATTTTGGCCTGGGTGCCGGTACTTTCCTGCATTTGATGTGTTGTTCAACCGTCTTAAGAACCGGTAAGCGGTGTGGAAAGGCTGGGTTGAGTGGTCTTCGCTCTTCCTGTGTGGTAAGGTGCATCAGTGTCACAGTGGTTGACACGTCTCACCACCACTGCCTGGGCCATTAGTTTCCTAGGACAGGGCCAAGTTAAGCATGAACTGCAGTGTTCAAGTCCAGAGAGCTGAACAAAGTCATACTCAGTTTGATTTTTTTAGACAAGTGAGGGGAAGTTGGTGCAACTTGGTTCATAATGGTGTGTGATTAGAATGCTGGCTGGAATGGGAGTAAAAAGGAGAAAACTGTACTTGAACAATGATTAAAATAAAATAAAACAAAACAAAACAAAAACAAAACAAAAAAAGAATGCTGTCTTGTTAGCTTTGCAGCATTGACTTCTTTCGTATGACATCTTTACTTGTATCAAATTGAAAAATTGGCTTCATAGAAATATCTTCTGCTTCAGTGAGCTCTGTGTTTTTAGCTTAGCTTTTGTTCTTAGGAATAGTGTAATTTTGTCTATATGTAGTAAGCTTTTTTAAATTAAGTTTTCAAAATTCCACTGTTATGCAGGTCTTTGAACAGAGCAAGAGGAAGGTTGTAATTTAGAACGCAGCATTGCCCTGGCCGAGTAGCTCAGTTGATTAGAGCATTGTCCCAATATGCCACGGTTGCAGGTTCAGTCCCTGGTCAGGGCACATACAAGAAGCAACCAGTGAGCCCTGGCTGGTGTGGCTCAGTGCTGGCCTGTGAACCAAAGGGTCGCTGGTTCTATTCCCAGTCAGGGCACATGCTGGGGTTGTGGACCAGGTCCCCAATAGGGGGTCCGTGAGAGGCAACCACACATTGATGTTTCTCTTCCTTTCTTTCTCCCTCCCTTCCCCTCTCTAAAAATAAATAAATAAATAAAACCTGTTAAAAAAAGAAGCAGCCAATGGATTCATAAATAAATGGAACAACAAATCAGTGTCTCTCTCTCTCAAAAGCAATAAACATATCCTCAGGTGATGGTTTAAAAAAAGAAATGTTAAAACAAAAGTTTATTGACTGAAGTATTTTCTGAAGTAAAATTAATTTTTCTTGTTCTCATACATCTCTCTTTAGTTGATTGTTCTTATGTTGGATGACTATCTCATTTTTCTCTAAACTTTTCTTTTTTCACCATATTGATTGAGCTTTATTGTTAAAACTTATTTTCTCCCCAAAGAAGTACAACTTTAGGATAATTTTTTAGGTGGACTTTAAAGGCCATAGTACAATTTTTGGGGGTGGCCTTGGAAGTTAGCAAACATTTTGTGCACACGGTCTGAAAGAAATCTAGTTGTGGCTAAAGTAATTTGAATATACTCTGGGACCCATTCATCAATTTCTGTTTTGCTTCTTTTGTATATCACGAAACACTGCTTTTTAAATTTCCAATAACCTCACTTTCTGTTTCTGTCTTCCCTTTGATTTCTTTCCGTTCCTCTCCTGTTGGCCTTTGTGGGAATTCGTGCCTGTGGCTGTACTGAGAAATGTTTGTTCAGAGAACTTCGTCTGGGCACTGGTGTTGAGATTGCACTTTGATTATTTTGTAGATTGAAAAGGAAGAGGACGAAGTAGAGCCAAATGTGCATGCAGTATAGCCACAGAATCCGCTTGCGATAGAATGTTTGACATATAATAGGTTCCTCCTCTTTTAGAAGTAAGAACTGGGAAAGGAATCATGCAGATCAGCAATTTTCAACTGGTGTGCCACAAGAATTTTAAAACATGCAATACCTGACTATTTAGACAGGGGCACTGACCTCTTTCCCCTTAGATTGTGAAATAAATTTAAAAAAAATGCCATCAGCCGACACAAAAGTAGCTGTCTGGTGTGAATGGATCAAAATTTATACCTATATTTTTGTCAGATCGGCAAACATATTTTTTGCTGTTCCACAGAATTTTAGTCATTAGTTCATGTGTGCCAGGAGATGGAAAAGGCTTTAAAATCGCTGATGTAGACCACACAGAATGTAGATCTTGTCCAGTCGTCTCGTTTTGAAGGTGAGAAGACGGAGGCCACGGTTAGGGAAGCACTGGCCCGAAGTTGTGCTTCTGGTAGTGCTTCAGAAGTGACTCACTCGAATGTCTGTCTTATAGGGTCAGAATTTCTCTCATATTTGACAAAACTATCAAGGTAGCTGAAAGATGTCATTAAGTTAGTGAATGGAGAACCAACACATTTAGTCACTTTTTATTTTAGGTGTTTGATGTATAGTCTCTGCGAATCTGGTTTCTGTTTGCCTTGAACTCTGGCACAGGCTTCATGGGTGACATCACACCTTTTACTTGAAATCTGACTGGAGCCAGAGTACATGGAAAGTACCTTTTCCCTAATATGACCCCTCAACCCCAGAATATTAAAAAGATAGGCGCACACACACCCTTACCTCTGTTTTAGAGAAAAAAGAGGGATGAGAATGGTCATTGAGCAAATTGTTTATTAATACTTTGCACCAGTGGGTATAGTATGAGAATTCATAGGAAGAGCTAACTTTTGAGTGCTAACTTTTACATGGATCTCCTTACAACAATCTTTTGAGGAGGGTTCCCTTCCAGTGGTTAAATGTAGGCTGAGAGGTGTAGTTACCTTAGTTCCATGCTCATACACACAGCTAATAAGGGCTGGTGTGAGGAGTGGTTAAACCCTGACTTCCTAACTTGGGGTCGCCACTCCAGCAGTGGCAGTCCACAGCAGGGTCACCAGGTGGTTCGTGTCCTGCTGTGTGATGCCCTGTGCCCATTGGGCAGAGGGAATAGGCAGAGCCAACCACAGGCATGAAAGCTCAAGGTTGAGAAACCTGGGACTGGTGCGGGTGTGTGTAGGGAAGCCAGGGAATACTGGCTAGGCTGGTGGGTGAGGTCCAGATTTTAGCCTTTCCTGCTTTGGGAGTCATTGAAGGTTTCAGTGGGGTGGGGAGAGGCAGGGATGTTAGATTTGCCACCTCTCTTAGTGCCCCTACCTTATCTCTCTTTCTCCCTCTCACCCCTTCCTCTTTTCCCCCAGCTGTACGAGGCCATAGACAAGGAACGGGGTGGGGGTCAGGGGAGCTAAGGGAATTGGGGATGGGAGTGTTTCAGTTGCTCACTGAATTCCTTATTATCTATTGATCCTGTTAACTCCTTCCTGTGTTCCATTGTGCCTGGAGCGTCCCGTCTTGTGTGAGGATGGGGACGTGCTGTCATCGGGACGGAGTGTAAGGAATTGAGGACTTGCTAACTCCTTGGGTTTACATCAGCCAGTTTCCTTGTTTTCAGCTCTGGGTGTCTCTGTACCTTCTGAGGTACTTAGCACCTCCACTTCCTGAGCCTTTCTGGGGATCTGCAGGGTTCGCTGGTTTTGCCTTCTGCGGATGCCCTTCCATAGGCAGCGAGGCTTCCTGGTCCTCCAGCACTGACTTACTGCTCCTTGGTCCAGTTTTGGACTTGTGCATGTCTTGTGGCTTCAGCAAAGATAGTGGTTCTGTTTCCCATCATTGTCACGTGGTGTGTGTTGAGGGGAGAGAAGGCATCCTAAAAACCAGAAGTCCCCAAAACCAGAAGCAAGAACACTTCATGCTTGTCTAGCTCCACCCAGTGGAGTTTTCTCCCTTCCGGTACTGAGTAGGTTCTTGTAAGTTCACTGAGTGAGACGAGAGACCCTTTGGGAGCTGCTGTGTGAGTACCGACCGAGTCCGTGGTAATGGTAGCAGTAGAAGTATGTGGGACAGTAGGGACATAGACAAGGGACATAGACAGTAGGGACATGCTCCACAGACATCCAGTGGCTGCTTGAATATGGGGGTCACAGAGGAGGAGCCTTGGGAGGTTTTTTTAGCTTTGGGGGCTTAATAATTGATGTTTGCCTATGGTTGTTTTTAGAGTAGCTATTGTTAAATTTGCTTGTGACATTAAAGTGGGCCATTGGCCTGCATTCTTATAGAATACTTTTAATAGCACTATATCTATTCTTGGAACTTGATAGAATTGTGACACTGCTTCATTGATAAGACACATGCTGAGATGCTTTCATATACAAACGAGGCACAAGTAGCCCAGGGCCAGGCGAGTCGAGTGATGGAAAAGGTCTTGTTTATTTCCACTCTGAAGTGGAATGACAGGAACGTGAGCATCTAAGATGAAAGACCCATATTTGATCAGGTTGTCATTATGTCATATGAAAAAATTAAACTTTAACTGTCTTGTCAATTTTTAAGCACCTGCACTTGGTGATAAGAGGGAAAATGTCAGCGCAACAAATTTTTGAAATGTCTCATTTGGTGTAATTTCAGTGAGGAGGACATATATCGCTCTGATGATGAAATAAAAAAGGAGAAAGAATTACCTATACATGAAAGAGGGTTACCAGGTACGTTTGGAATTGTTTTATTTATAGAATTCTTACTGTTTGTGATAGAAAATGCTGTTAAATTGGTATATCCAGTGTCATAAAATATTAAGATGTACTTCCCGGGAGACATGCATATGGTCTTACCTGCAATGATTATTCATTTTGCTAAAGTCTGTTTGGTGAATGCTGTTTCCTGAGGTTTTTATCATTTTAATAAAGCATTAATATTTTCCCTGTGTTCTTTACACTCACGTCGTTTTCACATCTGTGCACATTTGTTCAATCTCTCGACACCACCCTCTCTCAGTTTTTGATTGCTGTACACTCTTGGAGGGAGGGTCTGGATTTGCAGTGCACCGTTCATCGAGTAGGAGGACTTGCTGAGAAACGTGTCTTTGCATCACATGGCCACATGAATTTGATGGACTTGTAAGGAAGAGTGGTCGTGGGATCGGTAGCATTGGTTCTGTCATCATTTCACGATTTCATGTCCATGTTTCTGCTCAGTCACGCCAGCTCCTCCCACCCAACCAGTCAGCGCCACTAGGGTGAGGCATTCCATCCTGGCCTCCTCCACTGTCTGCACGGCTTGGCAGGGCTGTGTGAAGTGTCTCCTGGCTTCTCCAGCTAGCCTTGTGGAGAATGCTTCAGTTAGTGATGCAGCACAGATGATGCACAAGTGCCATTTTCTCTCTTTTTACCTGTGTAATCTGTGTGTTCTACTGGTTCATTTTGAGAACTAGCTTCTGTTTACTTTTTGCAGGGGTGTACAACCTTTTGGCATCTCTGGGCTATATTGGAAGAAGAGTTGTCTTTGGCCACACATTAAATACACAAACACTAACGAAAACTGATGGGCAAACAAAAGGTTTCAAGCAAATTTACTATTTTGTGTGGGGCTGCATTCATAGTCATCCTGGGCTGCGTGCGCCCCATGGGCCACGGGTTGGACACCCTTGCATGGTTAACAAGTATTACCCCTGCAGGGTAAAAAAGTATTATCGTATGTGTAATAAGGAAGAAACAATACAAAGTGGGATTTTGTTGGTAATTTCCAAGTCGTCTTCAATGAGGCATTGGTGGTCCTCACTGGTGGCCACGGGAAGGCTCTTTGCAGTGGTCGGTCAGGTGCGTCCCTGCACTACATGGCTCTGGTCCTCCGTGAAACGGCAGAGGACCCAAGGATGCTTGGCTTCCATTGCCGCAGTTGCACAAAACTCAGTTCTGCTGCAGAGTCCTCACTAGTCATGCTCCTGAGCGGGAAATCTGCTTGGCTGCGCTGTGTTCCTGCTACATTCGCAGAGACCTCTCGCTTTCTTTTTCGCTCTGAAGGCTCTACGGCGGTTCCTCTCTGTCCACTAGTATAGCCCCCTGCAGGTGATTCAGTTTTTCAGTGGGCCTCGTCACTTCCCGTAGTAGTCTGAGATAAAGTGGACCCATTTATATTCCTTCTTGCATCTTGGCCCTTCGGGTTCATTTATTGCCATCCTGACATAACATCCTTTGGGAAAGCCTCTGTGTGGGTGTGAGGGGAAGAAGCTCTGTTTGTCTGCAAATTTCTTTATTTCACTTTCTTGAATAACTCCAGATGAGTAGTTGTTTCTCTAATCTTTTTAAAGATTTATTGCATTGTCTTCTGGTTTCTGTTATAGTAAAAACACTGCAATCAGACTAATCCTTGGTAGATAATCTGTCTTTTCCCTCTTTTTTTCTCGTTGTCTTGGGATTTTCTTCTTGATATCTTGAAGTATGTATTTTTTTTAAACATTACATGTGATTTTTTTCTGTTTGCATCCCTGGGTACCTAGTTTTCAATTTGGGAAAATTCTCAGTCATTATCTTTGTGAATATTGCCTTTTCCCAGTTCTCTGTATTTACTCCTACGCCCAAGATTACTGTATCCAAGCAAAGGTATCATTTAGAGTGGAAGGGCAGATAAAGTGCTTCCCAGATAAGGTCAAGTTAAAGGAGTTCATCATCACCAAACCCTTATTATATGAAATGTTAAAGGGACTTATCTAAGAAATTGAAGAAGATCAAAAACTATGAACAGGAAAATGACAACAAACTCACAACTCTCAACAACTGAACCTAAAAAAAAGAAAAACAATGAAAACAACTAAGCAAACATCTGGAACAGGAGCAGAATCAGAGAAGTGGACATCACATGGAGGGTTTTCAGTGGGGGTGGGGAAGAATGGGACGAAGAAGGTACAGGGAATAAGACGCATAATTGGTAGACATTAAATAGATGGGGAGTGGTTAAGAATGATACAAGAAACAGAGAATTCAAAGAACTTATATGTACATCCCATGGATGTGAACTAAGGGGGAGGAATGCTCAAGGGAGGGCGGAGGGGGAATCGGGGGAAAAATTGGGAAAACTGTAATAGCATAATCAATAAAATATACTTTAAAAAATACTGACTAATGAGTGTGTAAACCAATAGAACAACTGTATTTAAAATGAGAAAAAAAAATGGAACTCTAATTAGATGCTTGTGAGCCCTCATTCTGTCATCCGAGGTTCCCAGTGACACGTGCTTTCGTATGTATATTTTATGATGTAGCCTCTGTTGCATTCTGGACAGCTTATTCAGATCTGTTTGCTCTTTCTTTCTGTTTTGGAAACGTCCTGTTTTTTTTTCACCCAAAATTTGCCTAGTCATTTTTGATAGTTTATTTTTCTATGCTAATGTTTTTTATTTTATTTTTGTTTATTTCTTTAATCATTTTAAACATGCTTTTCTAGGTCTGCTAATTCCATTTTCTGAAAATCCTGGTAGGTCTTTTTATGCCAATTGTTATAATATTTTTTTGCTTATTTCTTGCTTCTTCAAAGTTTGAATTATAAGCTCAGCTCTTGTGTATCTGTATGGAGTTTGTGCGCCTTGGCTTGAGTGCAAGAGAATTTGGCCTTGTTTCTGCCAGGCACCCAGAGGTCACCCTCCCTTGGGCCACTTGCTGTGAATATCTACACTCGTGTTTCCAGGGTCTTGTGGCTAGTCTGAATTCACGCCTGTCCCTGTGTGAGAGCCAGCCGGTGGGTAAGAACTCTCAGGGGAGATTTCCTCTCCCTGACCTCGGAGCCCAGGTCAAGACAAAGTTTTCCTAAGTTCTCTCTTTGTTAGTGAAAAGGTTTTTTTCACCTTCTCCAGGAGTCAGCATGTTATGGCTCCCTAACCAAATTGATGTGCCCCCTGGTTTTGTAAACAAAGTTTTATTGGGTCTTCCTAGTTTACAGATTGTCCAGGGTAGCTTTTGGGCATGATAAAGTTGAGTATTTGTGACAGAAACTTCATGGACCCCAAAGCCTACGTTATTTTCTGTCTGGCTCATTATAAAAAAGGTTTGCAATTCTTGCCCTTTCCCCCCAGTTTTACCTGGTCTTTCAGTTTATTGTCGAGCCTCAGCTTTCTGGAGGGGCTCGTCTTCCACATCCCATCTTTCACGGGTTTCATCCTTATCTTTGTCACCACATGGTGGTTAAGAACCAGACCTTTTGTTTACTTTGTCTCCTGGTTACCACTCTGTTTTTCAGCCCTGTCCCCCTTTTTCCCATTAGAAATGTTCTTCCCTGATAGAGTCTATGTAGTTGCAATTAAACAAAGAAAGGAGCTGTGTACACTCCAAGCTGCTCCTGTGCCTCCCACCCATGGCCTAGAGGATGGCGTGCAGTGGCTGTTGGAGCCCCCTTCTCAAAAAAGAGCAGTGGAATGGGAATGAAAGTGCCATTCGGTGCCAGCAGCTATGCAGGGTGTACCCCATCTCCTCCCCCTCTCACCTCACGCATCTGGCTCAGCACAGGATTGTGGCCTATGGCTGCCTTCTGGGCAGGTGAGGCCCCCTGCCTCCTCCCTCAGTCCCGAGGTGGTGGGCCTGCCACCCCTGTCCAGGGGCCAGGTCTTGTCCTGGCATGTGCGGGAATGAGGGCTGCAATCGAGCAGAGTGGGAAGGCTGGACTTTCTTCCCAGGAGGCCCCTCCTGCACAGGAAGCATGGGCCCCCTGGTGGGACATGGCCCAGTAAATGTCCTCGATTCTGGATATTAGTGGTTCCTCGTGGTTTTGGGGGAGGTGAGTGGAAGGGCAGATACAAGGCAACCCTTCTGTCTACTAAGTAGACACTCAAAAAATGTTCCTTGAATTTCAGTAATGATCCGTCTTTATTTGAAGATTGGCCGTGCAGCAGTGGAATTTGTGGTCTCTGTATAATGAGTGGTTCAGGGATCTGGTTCACTTCTAAGCCAATCCTGACTTAATGCCACAGATAAATCTGCATTTTCTGTATATGTAGTATTTCCCCCTTTACACACAAGGTTTATTTTCCTTATCAAGGAATTCACCATGAGACTTTTAAAAAGTAGGCAGCTCTTAATATTTAACATCAAACAAATTGATTCACCTGGGCTGCAAGAAGGGCGTAGGGGCTCCTCGATTGTGCTGCTCCATCACTCATCCCAGCACCCATCACCCCGGCTTGTGAGCGCCTGGTTCCTTCTTCTTCAGTGGTCTTCAGACCCGTTCCGGACAGAACCTGGGTCTTACTGCCTTCGTATTCCTTGCTCAGTGCTTGACGTGTGTTAACACTCAGTAAATATTTGTTGAATTGAGCTGAATATAATATTGTTATTTTATGTACCATTTCTTCTGGAGTAGATATGTTGTAAGGTACTTCTATGTTTATATCCTGATTTCTTTGCTAACATTTACTTCAGTAATTTAAAAAGGAAGTCAAGATATGCCTGAGAATGCACTTCCCTTTCTTCCTAAACCACACACATAGACATGCCGGTACGTGTGTATCTGCATGTGCATAGGCCACAGAATCAGACCCCAAGCAACAAGGAAAGTCCAAAGGCCATTCTCCCACTGTATCATTTATCTGATCATAGTCTGTGTTTTTAATTTTGGGGAGGTGTTTGAGAGTCAGGTGAGATCTGTGGTTCAGCTAACGTTGAAAGCCCCATTACTAATAATTTGTAGTTTTGGGGGATCAGGACAGGTTATGAATTAATAAAAACAAGTATATGTTTTGTTACAGAAGTGTTAACTCTTTGTAGAATGGGTGGGAAAAACTAATTACAAGTCATTAAATGTATTATAGCTCAGACTGTTGCATGTTTAATTGATCAAAACAGTATTCATGGACACCTGTGTCCGACCAGTCGCAGGTGCTGAGGACACAGACAGGAAGCAAAACAAGCCCCTGCCCTCTAGAAGCTCATGTTTTACCATGTCCATGTGTGGGTGTGGGTGTGGAGGCAAGGCTAGGCAGGGGGATACCGAAAAAGAAATATTTTGGATTTCAATCAATGCCAAGAAGAGAACAAAACAGTGTAAAAGGAATATAGCATGAAGGTGTGTGATATTATGATAGAAGGGTGTCAGAGGTGAGCAGCGGACACCTGCATGCAGTGTGGGAGCAGGTACTGGGGAAGAGCTAGGTGTGTTGGAGGAGGCTACAGGTGGACCAGGAGTTGGCAGCGCGGGGAGTGGTGGGAGCTGAGGCCAGAGAGGCAGTGAGGGGCCAGGCCCGGGGCCGCTGTAGGCAGTAAGGACATCAGTTCCGCTCCAGCTGAGATGGGAGGCTCTGGGAGTGCTTGGAACCCAGAAGTGGTAGGTATCGTCCAACCTAGGTTACAAGCATCAGTCCGGCTGCCATGTAGAGATCAGGGAGACCCGCTGGGGGGCTCATCTGTAGTTACCTAGGAGTGAGGGATAGTGGTCCGGACCAGGTGGTGGTAGGCAGTAGTGGGATCCCGGATTTTTTTGGAATGAAGTGAGAGAAAAGTAATTCCCACGTAGAGCAGTACCATTGTTCTGATTATGCTTTGTTTCACTCTTTCCTCCTCTCCCCTTTTGTTTGACTCTCTCGCAGAACCTAGATTAAGTGTAGCTCCCGAAGTGGATATCATGGACTACTGCAAGAAAGAGTGGAGGGGAAATACGCAAAATGCTACATGTATGAAAAAGGTATGATGCCTAGATGCATGTATTTCAGGTCTGTCAGTCCATCATAGGTAACTATTCAGTGTATCCTTTTATATTTTTAGATGTTAATTATGAAACTGTTAATTATACTCTGTAAATACTGGTGTTCTGAATTTAGAGATGAGGAAACAGATTCCAAAGATAGGGGACTTTTTTCGGGTCATGGTATTAAAATAGAATCAGCATCCGTTTTTCAGTGGCATGATTTCCTTGAAAACCACAGAAATGACTGTGCTCTTTAGAGTCGGGCCAGCCATGCCCGTGGGGTCATGTGGGAGTGCCCTTCTGGCCTAGTGAGGTAAGATTTCCTGTCCCTACTGTCCCCCCCGGGTTTGGTTTCATGCCCTCCAGTGGGGGCCTGGTCCATCCCACCCAGGGATCTGGAGCTCCTGCCTTCATTTAGGGCAGCCCAGGAGCTGCCCTCTCCCAATGCCATCACACAGATCGGTGACCCTAAGGGAGTCTCCAAGGCTGTGGGACATTCGGGAGTCCCTTGATGTGGTCCTGTTGTAACTGGGTTGGGTCATTGCTCAGGTCAGACCCCTTGACTCACTCCCACTGCTCAGCTTAGCTAAGCAGCACACCGTCTTGGTGGCCCTTGAATGCCCCCTGAATCCTGTGTTCCTTAGTAGTGTGAACCATGCAAAATTGCTACGTTTTGACTTTTCTGAGCTGCAAAAATGATAGTTTCGCCCTGGCCGGGTGCTTCAGCTGGTTGGAGCATCATCCAGTACACCAGTGGTTGTGAGCTCAAGCCCCAGTTAGGGCATAATACCTGGTATGGGGGTTCAATCCCTGATTGGGGCACATATGGGAGGCAACTGATTGATGTTTCTCACATCAATATTTCTCTCCACTCTCCTTCCTCTCTCTCTGAAATCAGTAATTTAAAAAAAATGACAATTTCAATCTAACACTTCCACCACCTCTTGTAAACTGTGTCATATCCTTTGTTCATTTTCTCTTGGGTTTATTTACATTATGAATTCGAATGCACAGATATTGATATATCATCTTTGATGGAAATGTTCTAATATGTTTTTTGTTTATAACTGTACTGTTTAGGATTTTAAATATTTGAATACATGTGTTCCTTTCCTCGGCTTGTTTTTGTAGACAGCAGCGCACCTCTTCCAGCAGGCCCCTGTGCTGCCCAGGCCTGCCCGGAAAGGGGCTGATCTTTCTCAGAGTGTGGCTGCCACTTTTCAAGCTCTGAGAGCAAATGGCAGCTCTGCTCGCTGCCGGTCTGGACTGTCAGCTCTTCGCGTCTTAGTCCCTTGTTAGAGAACTCAGTCGTGAAACACCAGGGGCCCTCAGATCCTGCCAGAGGTTAAGTACATTTAGACTTGTGAGGCCATCTGCTAAATATGGGTGTCAGCCATGTGTAGATTTTCTACCAACCTCCATCCCGGTATCAAACTGGACAACCAGTAGACCAGGTGTCTAAGCTGTACAGGCACACCTCCTTTTACTGTGCTTTGCTTTATTGCATTTTTTGCAAATCGAAGTGTTGTGGCAACCCTGCATCTAGCCAGTGTATCAATGCCATGATTCCAGCAGGCTCAGATGATGGTTAGCATTTTTTTTAGCAATAAAATGTTGTTTTATTCTGTTTAAAAAATTTTTAACTTTCAGTTATAGCTTAATTCATTATTGCTTTGTATTGGTTTCAGGTGTACAGCATAGAGGTTAGATAATCATACACTTTACACAGTGTTTCTCATATCTCCTGTGCCCAGCTGTCATCATACACAATTATTATAATATCATTCACTATATTCCCTCTGCTATACTTTACCTCCCCATGACTGTTTTGTAAGCTACCAATTTGTGGGGTTTTTTTTAAAAAAATTATGTACATTGCTTTTTAGACAGTATGCTATATAGCACATTTAATAGACTATGGAATAGTGTAAAGATTTATATGCTCTGGAAAACCAAAATATTCCTGTGACTGGCTTTTTGAGAACTCACGTTATTGTGGTGGTCTGGGACTGAACCTGCACTGCCTCTGAGGTGTGCCTGCATTTTCTCATCTCCCCACGAAAGCTCTCGCTGACTTACAATTTTATTGTAGGACCTCAGTCTCTTTAAAGGATCTCTTCCCACAACGGGCACCTAAAGCTCCACAGCTGAAGATGACTCCTAAGTTCCCAGATATCCCAATTTTGGGACACATGCTGAAATTACTCCTCCATCATTTTATTTCAAGAGAAAGATTGGGCCCTGTGGTTGGACTTTTCAGTGACCAAAGTGCCAAAGGCACATCAGTTAGAGAAACGTCACAGCAGGACCTATGGCAGTCATTAGAGCATCTCAGGGCCTGACACAGCTTGGATCTCAGTTCTTTCTTCCGTCCTTGTTTTTGTCTCTTTTTGTTTTGGATATTCTTTTGGAGGTGTGTATAAATCCAAATTTAGTTTTAAAAGTTTGCTTCACTTCTGAAATAGCATGAGTAATTTATGCATTTGGAGAGGTGCAGTTGCTGTTGACCTAGCCATCAGTGAGTTTTCAGGGTAACTGGGGGTCCCCCACAGGGAAGAGATGCTCGTTAGCAGACATGAGTCAGCTTGTCAGACCATATCTGTTACAGTGAGTGCACCACTCCATAAAAATGGGACTCTCAAAAGTTTATTGTTACAAAGAAGTACTTTCATATCTACTGAGGACATTGTCCTGTGGCTTGAACCTTGAAGACAACTGCTACTGAGGGTCCAGTCCACAGGTTGACAGTGTGCAGGGTGAGAGTGGCGCTTCTCCCTCTGGGTAAGTGCAGGCAGGAAGCAGTGCAGGCAGGAAGCAGGCAAGAAGAGCAGGACAAGTGGAAGGATGGACAGGATGGAAGCAAGCTACTTGGGGGAGGCAGTGAAGTTGACTCTGATGTCTGAGCAGTGTCCAGCCAGAGAAGTCAGGTCATCAGGGTGCCTGAGGACCAGGTCGCTAGGATTTTATGGTGTCCTTTTTGGGAGTATGCTTCAAAATGTTCCAGCTGGATGGCTATTTCTGAGTGATGAGTCTGTTACTGAACATTTTCATTTCCTCCTTTCACCTCCAGACTGAACAAGAGTGACAGTTAAATCCACTTTTTAAAAAAGGTCTAACAGAATTATCCAGATATCTCCTAGCATGCAGGCTTTAAAATTTTAATTAATTTATTCAGAGAGAGATTGATTTGTTGTTCTACTTATTTATGCATTCATTGGTTGCTTCATGTACATATGCCCCGACCTGGGGTTGGATCTGCAGCCTTGGCATATTGGGGCAACACTCTCACCAACTAAGCTACCTACCTGGCCAGGGCGTATGTAGACTTTACAATGTGCCATGGAAATTTGGGGGGGGTGGTGTTTATGGAGATACACATTTAATACATCTCTCCTTTTCTGTCTCTTCATTAAGGTTTAGGGTCAATTTAAACACTGATTAAACCCTACAGAATGTCGATCAATACCTAAGTATTGTGACAGTTGCTCAGAAAGGGACGTGTAACTCCAGCTTTGGGAGTGGTTGGTGTTTCGATAATACTTGGTGTATTACTTTGTATGTTCTAGTGTGTTGCATCTGTTAATGTACACCAATATTTTGTACAGTATTAGCATCTGTTAATGTCTTTTGATTAATAAAGAAGGAATTAGAATGTCTTACACAAGGGACTCAGCCAGTCTTGTTTCCAGTCTTTCAGGGAACGGGGCATGTTTTTCCACAGGAATAAAACTCCCCCTGAAGTCTATAACAACCATTCTGAAGTCTTTGATGCTTTCACCCAGGGCTACGAAGAGGTATCTCAGAAGTTCACCTCCATCAGGCAAGTCCGCGGAGATAATTACTGTGCGCTGAGGGCCACGCTGTTCCAGGCCATGAGCCAGCCGGCAGCGCCGCCCTCCTGGCTGCAGGCTCCGGAGCTCACGCTGGTACGCTGCCACTGCAGGTTTGAGTCCACAATGTTTCCCATCGTTTTTGTGAGAAAGACTTCCCTTTTCTGCCCATGCGCTGTGATAGCCCTCTCTGCTGAATGATGTCAGCGTGTGGGTTCGTTTGGTTTTGTGTGGTTGTGGTGATTTTGCATAGTAGAGTGACCAAAAATAGTATTTCCCAGAAGAGAAAAATGATAAAATTCATTTGAACAATTGAGCTGTGAATTAGCAGGTGTTTAGAGTTTATAAAAAGCACTTAGGAGCAGTTTGACTTCAGGGTATCTGCATGAATGGGCTGGTGTATTATACAATATACACCCATTTATCAGACCCATGTATATTGAGTCTGCTGGGGTTTTAGGGTGCAGCTTTCTGTAATCCTAGCACTAGTCCAAGAAACCAGTGCCCTCTGCATAGTGTTAGGAGAATTTGCTTAGCAGGTGGTTGAACAGTAGCCTAGAAGAGGGAAGGTTGATGTCACTCTGGGGAAGGCTTCCTGGGGAGGTGAAGGTCAGGGGCTTTCAGCAGGGGCCGTGTCCCGTGCTAGGCCTTCTCCAGTGCTTTAAATTGGCATGTGGTAGTGATTCCCAAGGAAGTCATGTATTATTGTGTCAAATGTCCATGACCCACTTCAGATGAGGTCACATAATAGGTTAGATGATAGAATATCCCCAAAGGGTTTGGATTGAGCGGAACTGACTATATGACATTAATTGGAAGAAAATCAAAAGTCTGTGCCCATATATATATATATATATATATACATAAAGATTTTATTATTTTTAGAGGAGAAGGGAGAGGGGAAAGAGGGAGAGAAACATCAATATGTGGCTGCCTCTCATGTGCCCCACACTGGGGACCTGGCCTGCAATCCAGGCATGTGCCCTGACTGGGATTCGAACTAGCGACCCTTTGCTTTGCAGGCCAGCACTGAATTCACTGAACCACACAAGCCAGGGTGTTTATATTTTTTTTAAAGGAAAAACAAAACCGAAAGTGCTGGCTGTGGGAGATCCGCACTACCAGCAACTTGTGAGGGGGCAAAAACAGGGATCAGCATCTTAATTGATTGCAGTCCCCATGTGAGCCCACCTGATGCGATGGTCGGCAGTGGATAGGGAAGCTCTGTTTTAAAAGGGGCACTTCTGAAATACAGTGACAGCCCTGCCTTGAACTGGGCTGGTCAGCTCCCCTCTCAAGGAGCAAGTGCAGCTCTGTGCCTGCATCCTCGGGACAGATGGGAGTATGACCAAGATGATTCATCTCCCTTGGGAACAGCCAGAGGAGCTGGGGTGTTTGAAGTTTAAGGAAGCTAGAATAAGGAGGACTTTTGGAGAAAACTGGCGGCCAGCTAAGCTAATTAGAGGTCTCTTAGGTGAATGAGGGATCACACACCCTCAAAGTGCAAAACCAGGACAAGTGGGTGGAAGATACTACCTGTCCATCCTTTGATTATCCATTTTATCAGCCCGTATGCAATCAGCACACCTGTGTAAAGCTGTGTAGTTAGATCTTTGGGGTCTCCGGAGTAATTCAGTTGAATGCTGTGCCTGTTTTTTAGATACCTGCACAGTGTCCTGTGATGCTCAGAGGGGCTTCTGGGCTTCCCTTTTCTCGATTCCCAGCTCACAGCTGTGTAGCCGGGAATTTTCTGCTCACGTGCACTTCCCTGTGCCCGGCTGTGATTTCAGCTGGCTACCACTTGAGGGCATTTTAGGTTCTGGCGATAAATCTGAAAACCTAATTGAAGGTTTGCAGCAGAGCTGTCCACATGCTGGTGAAATGCAGGACAGTGTGGGCACGGAGCTGGGTGGCTCTCGAGAGGGTGGTCATTTGTCATCATGATAAGCCCCTCCCCCCTTAGTGAGTGAGCGTGGGTCAGCTTCACTGTGGTAACCTGAAGAGGAATTCACATCCCTCTTGTGGTTTTGTTTTTTGCGGACCTGAAACCGCCTTCGTTTTACATGATTGCTTTAGATTAAGAAGGTAAAACTGGAACTGCTGTTTATAAAAGGTCTTCAGGGTCTTGGATTCCAGAAGAACTGAACATATGGTCTCGTTTAAAACTATTTATAACTGTTCAACAACCTCGTGCTCCTCCTAGGATAGTGTAAGAATTATTCTTTAATGATCTTTTGACTTGGAATGTAAACTTTTTTTCCCTTTCTAAATTTTATAGCAGTGACAGGACATGCCTGTTCCCAACCTAATTATATGAGTTTTTTCCGTGGACACACCCAGGGCTGCTGGGAGAGTCTGAGTCCCATGCTGTCACCCGTCGAGTTGTGTCCCAGCTTGCCTTTCAGACTCCACATTCCACTGACGATTAGGGGAAAGGAACAGATGCTCCAGGAAAAGAAAGGGAAGCAGGCAAAGTACGGGTTCCACTGTTGCTTCTTCAGTGAGCTGGGCCATCACAGCTCCCTAAACCCCCACTTCTTGTTCTTGGCTGTATTTTTTTTTAAATCTTACTGTATTGATTAAGCATTTGAACTAGATAATTGTTTCATTGAATGTTAAAACTTTGAGTATGTGTGTTAATATCAAAATTAGGTTTTATTTTCCTAATCAGGAAGGGAGCAGGTTTATGCTTTATCCTGGACCATGTGACATGCCCAGCAGTGCCTTCCAGAGTCAGGCACTGGGGGGTACTGGGCAGGCTGCCAGTGAGCCAAGGGGCTTCTGTGTAGACGCTCCTTCAGGGACTCGCACCAGGTGCTGTGTAGCGCTCCTGGCTGCTGTTGCCGGGCGGGGTGGGTTGTGCCCTTGTATCTCAACCCAAACCACCATTTCACTCCAGCAGTCCTCCCAGGGTGGGACTTTCTGAGCGCCTGCCTTCCAGCTTTAGGGGATCCGTTCTAAACCCACAGGACAGATTTGCAGGGATCAGTCCTGTAAATGAAGGTAGGTTTGGAGGCTTCATGGTTTCTTATGGCTTGGACTGTGCAATGAACTTTATGGAAGCTTAACATTTTTTCTCTCTCTGTTTCTCGATACTCCAGTTACCGGAAAAACTCGTAAGCAAATACAGCTGGATCAAGCAGTGGAAACTTGGACTGAAATTTGAGGGGAAGAACGAGGACCTGGTTGATAAAATTAAGGAGTCCCTCACTCTGCTGAGGAAGAAGGTTTGGAACATGTACCCTCCTTCCCCTGAGAAGCGCGCCGCTCCCGCTCCTAATCGCCCCAGCAGACCCCTCCTTAGTCCTCACCGAGGGGATTACCAAACACTCTTGGCTTGTTTCTAAGCAAAATAGTTTTGGCTGAACACAAACTCTTCTGGTGAGGTCTTTGGTAAAACTGAGAAATATCAAAATCGTGTATTCTTGGAGGAAATGCTATGTTTAATGAATTGTTTAACTTTCTTAAAAGGAAGCCATAACAAATGTAGTCTTTGTGGTAAGTCATACTGGCAAGTTTCAGGGATACATTTGGTCCGTGTTTCTTACAGTAACATCAGCGATGGGAATTCATGCCACCACCCCCCTTAGACTTTCAGCTCCGTGAAAGGCTGCCTAGACCCGAGCCTGACACATAGTAGGCATTCAGGAATACCTTGCCGATGAATGAACTGAGGACCCTGCCTTCCTGGAACCTAGTCTGTACTTACAAAGTGCTGACTGGAAAATGCATGTCAAAGGAACGCTAGCAAGGGAGGAGTGGGAGGAAGAGGAGGACACGGGGAGTCTGTTGTTCTTGCCCGTTGAGCAGAGCGCGGCAGTTGTGGGGGCTGGAGCCCGTGCCACCCACTCCCGGGTCCGGGGCGGTCGAGGGCAGCGCCCTGGCCCCGTGGGGGTGAGAGAGCGGGAAGGCTCTTCAGCTCAGCAGCACTGGTGACGGTTTCCTTTTTCTCTCTCTTACGTTCTCAGGAAATTGTCTGCTGTCACTACATCCTCATTTTGGGGAACGTTGAAGTGATTTCAATTTAAAATAACACGAAAGTTATTCGTTAACAGTCTGAGCCAGCATTACTAACACTTCCTGTGGACCAGGCCGTGCACTAAATGCCCTGTGTGTTTACTTCTCACAACGGCCCGAGTGCTACCGCCGTGGTTACACGTGGGACAGCGCGGGCCCAGCGGTCGGCTCTCCCAGCCTGACTCCGACTTAGGGCCTTCCTCTTGACTGGCAACTGGATCGACTTCTGGAAAAGTGTGAGGCGTTCCAGCTGTCCACCCAAATATTGGGGAGCCCTGTGCCTCCAGCCATTGCCATGAGATTCACTCTTAATGTACAATTTTAATGGTGTTTCACAGGAGTAGTAGTTACTGGTGATTCATAAGGACTGGTTTTACGTCAGCATCTTTTATTCTCATTTACTTAAAAGTACGTGTATTTATGGGGTTTTATTGTGCATGGAAGGAGTTTGCCTATTTTAGCTGAATACCTAGCATTGCTCTGTTCTCAGTCAGGAGTCAATAAGAACTTCCTGAATGGATTTATTCATTTGAAACTCATGTATATTTTTAAGAGGTTGTAAGGTTAAGTTTATAAACTAGTATTCGGGAGACCCCATAATCTTCCTTGCCCATCTTCAGGGTTGGCTTGCGATGTCGGGGTCACTGCACCAGGGAGCCCCTCACAGAGCGGGGTAATCCCGGCTGTCCTTCACACCTTCACACCCCGGCCCCACACACGTGCACGTGCGCTCTTCCATGAGTGTTTCTGATTGACTGGCTCGGCCTCACTGCCTGGAATGTTAGGGATTCAAAATTGTCATTCCCGGTCCCAGCGGTTCTGCTCGGCGCATTGTGCTTGTGTCTCACATCAGTGGGGCGAGAGCTGAAGGAGGAGTTTGTGTGGTCTGAAGAGTGGTGCCTTTGTGTGAGCCCGAACTTGAACGTTGTGAGCATGGGTCCGTGACCCATGCTTGCCTACTTTTGAAAATGATTTTGTGCTAGTAGTATGGAAGTATACCAGGGACTTTTGGAACAAACATGTAATTATTCTGTAACTTTTTTATTGCAGTGGGTGGGCCTGGCTGAACTGAGAACTGCCGAAGCAAGGCAGACGGCTTGTGATGAACTGTTCACAAACGAAGAGGAAGAATATAGCCTTTATGAAGCTGTAAAATTTCTAATGCTAAACAGAGCCATTGAACTCTATGATGATAAAGAGAAGGGAAAGGAAGTGCCATTTTTCTCTGTGCTTCTGTTTGCTCGGGACACATCAAATGACCCTGGACAGCTACTGAGGAACCATCTAAACCAGGTGGGACACACTGGTGGCCTTGAACAGGTGAGTTATACCTTTCGGAGTGTATTAGTCCAAAACATCAGCTTTAACTATCAAACATTATCTCACAGTTTTTTGGGGTCAGCAACTCAGAAACAGCCTAGTTGGGTGGTTCTGGCTTGGGGTCTCAGGTGGTTGCAGTTAGCTGAGGCCTCCACCAGGGCTGGAGGACCTATGCCCAGATTGGCTCCCTCACCTGGCTATTGGCGGGAGGCCTCAGTGCCTCCCTGGTGGGTAGTGGTGGTTCCTTGTTCAGTTCGGCTTTCTCTGGACAGGGCTGCTTGAGTGTCCTCACAACACGGCCACTGGCTTCTCTCAGACAGTGATTCAAGAAGGGAGTGAGGAAGAAGCCACATTGCCTTTTGTGATCTAATCCGGGAAGTTACGCACAATCAATCACTTTCACTGTATTACATTTGTTAGCAAGTCACCAACTGACCTCACACTTAAGGGAAGGGCATGAAAAAGAACTGGGGACCTGTTTCAGAACCACCACGGTTATGTCAGCCTGGGCCTGCTTCCGCAGCGCGGTGGATGGGACCGGTGGTTGTGGCTCTGGTAGTCTACACGTACGAGAGCACTCGGAAGAGGCATCTGAAGGGCCTTGTCTCATCTTGGCAGCTGTAGCTGTATGAGCTGGTGTCCTTTAAAATAGAAACGGAGTCACCTTAGCCAGCAGAGCACAGCCTGCTCTCGGACCTTTTACGGAAAAGCTAAGTTCGGAGTTTTACACAGAGACCCAGTGCAGTGCTGTCCCATGAGCCAAAGTGTCTGTCTTCTGTGAGTTCATTACATTGCCCCAGAAGGCTTAGTTTTTGTTTTGTTTTGTTTTTGTTTTTGAATAGCTAACCAGTGAAGTAGCAGTGATGCTGTCCTTCCAAAATGCTACCCTCTGACTTCATGGCCGACTTTTTGGCTTGCCTTTTCCCGGTCTGTAGGGAAGAACAAAGATGATGATCATGTTGGGTCAGGCAGGACCGAAGATAATTATTTTAAAAATTGCCTGTACTTGTAATGTAGGTTACCTGCGTCTTCTGAATGGGTAGTGAACACCTTGCAGTGAAAAACCTGGTAGAGCGTGTTTTGCATATTAGACTGAACTTAGTCCTTCCTGGGTCTCCATGAGGTCTGCTGTCATGGAGAGGCCATTAAAAAAAAAAAAAGAAAAACAGCTTTATTGAGATATGATTTACTTACCATGACGTTTACCCTTTTAAAGTGTGCAACTCAGTGGTGTTTGGTGTGTTTACAGAGTTTTGCTGCCCTCGCAATAGTCTAATTTTAGACCGTTTTGTCACCCCCGAAAGAAGCCTCATGCCCTTGGGCACTCCTCCCCCACTCTCCCTAGTCCTGGGCAGCCGCAGTCTGCTTTCTGTGCCCATGGACTTGCCCGCTATGGGCACTTCATATAAATGCAGCCATATATTATGTGGGTCTTGTGAGTGGTTTCTTTCATAGCTTAATGTTTCCAGGGTCCACGCATGTTACGTCATGGGTCAGTTCTTCATTCCTTTTTGTTGACAAATACTGTTGTGTGGACATTTTACATTTTATTCATCCATTCATCAGTTGATGGGCATTTGGGTTGTTTAGCTATTATGAATAACCCTGCTGTGAACATTCATGCACAAGTTTTTTGTGTGGACATGTTTTCAGTACTCTTGGTATATTCTTAGGAATTGCTGGGTCATATGGTAGTTCTTTGTTTAAAATTTTAAGGAACTGCCAAACTTTTTTATTTTTTAATTTTTTATATAATGTTCATTATATTTTTTTCCATTACCATTTAATCCCCTTATACCCTCCTTCCCAGCAATCACCACACTGTTGTCCATGTCTGTGAGTCCTTTTTCCTTTCAAACTGTTTCTTAAAGCAACTGTATCATTTGTCATTCCTACTAGCAATGTTTCAAAGCCTCATTTCTCCACATCTTTGCCAACGCTGCTTTTTTATTGAGGCAGAGCTCACATAACATACAAGTAACCATTTTAAAGTGTACAGCTCAGGGGCCTCTGGTGCATTTACAATGTTGTATGACTACCACCTGTATCAAGTTCCAGAATATTTCATCACCCCACAAGAAAAGCACACACCTGGGGAGCAGCTGTTCCCATGCACTGTCAGTCTCGCTCCTCCCAGCTGCTCTGGAGGGCATGTGGGGCTCCTCCCTGTGGTGTTGGTTCTGCCCCGATGACTTCTCTCGTGCATGCGGCCCATTTGCGTGTCTTCTTGGGAGAACTGCCTGTTCAGATCCCTTGCCCAGTTTGTAAACTGGCCATTTTTTGGCTTATTGTTGAGTTGCAAGAGCTCTTTATAAATTTTGGTTATAAGTCCCTCATCAGACATGTGATCCATTCTCAGTGACCTGTTTGCTTATAATGACCATACGAAAGAGGATTGGGGCTGGGCCTGTGGAGAGGAAGAAAGGTTGTGGCTTAGTGGTGCTGTGCACTGCCTGGGACACCTGGCATCGAGCAGGTAGTAAATGGCGTCTTTCAGGATGGCTGCCCTGTACTCACCCATTTGCTCTGCTCCCCCAGGTTGAAATGTTCCTTCTCGCCTATGCTGTGCGCCACACCATCCGGGTGTACCGGCTCTCCAAGTACGGCACTGAAGAGTTCATCACAGTCTACCCCACAGACCCACCCAGGGACTGGCCAGTGGTGACCCTGATCACCGAGGACGATCGGCACTACAACATCCCCGTCCGAGTGTGTGAGGAGACGAGTCTGTGAGGGCCTCGCACCCAGACAGTCTGGCCTTGGGGCCACGGTGTGCAGGCAGCTCCTCGGCTCGGGCCTCGGCCTGCTGGTCTCCTGGAGTGACTTATGGGAGCTCTTACGCCCCGTGAACCAAGCTGGCCTGAGGAGTTCTGAAGATTAGCTTTGATAATGAGTTAACTGAGTTTTTCCCTCATTATGAAGCAATATGTTGTCCTGGATGCCTTCAGAGCACATTTGTTGGAAGGTGCATACTGTATCTTTTCCATAAAACAAATACTTTTGTAAAAAGAGACTTATTTTAGAGAGGAATATGTTCTTTATATCTCAAATCAAACTTTCTCTAATAGTCAGCTGGCTTTTGATTTTTTTTTTAAGATAGTAATTTTTTTTTGTTTCGGTGGTAGCGGGTCTCTGTGGCAATCTTGCTACACAGTCTGCTTACTCGGTCTGATTCTGGGACAGGGTCTTTTAATGGCACAGGCTGAACATCCTCTGCTAGTCCCATCAAGCCGTGGTTTGGATTTACATACCAATTAAATCAATTCTAGACAGATCGTTTAATAGAAGGTTAAGAATTGAGCCCCAAAGTGAATTGTTTAAAGGCTGGAGGAGGTGCTGGGATAGGAGGGAGGACATGACAGGTGCCTGAGGCAGTGGACACACCAGGTCTGGTGTGGGGTGCACGTGGCGCTCTGTGAGCCGGGGCAGCACTGCCTGTGGCTGACTGAGCTCTCGTGTCGGGAGCTGTGTATTATTCTGCAGCCCGTAGGTTCACCGTTATGGTCAGAACAGCGCTCAGAGGCACCTGCTGCTTTAGAGGAGGAGACCGAGGGCGAATGACTGCAGCCCCTCATCTGACTTAAGGGGTGGGGTGAGCTGGGTCTGGGTCTTCCTGTGCCCTTTTCGTGCCTTTTTTTTGCCAAATTCATGAAACTCCTCTGCTGGTAGGGAACAAGTAACAGCAGAGTGCCTGAAGTTTCTTATGAGTTAGCTTAGGCAGGAGCATGTACTAAAACTGGGCGCAAAGGTGTGGCTGAGCTGCATCTGCCCTGGACTGGGTTCGGGAGGCCTGAGGGAGGCAGTGGTCCAGGCTACGAGCGCTGGCTGCAGGGCCGCGGGCAGCCTGGCTGAGCACGGTCAGCCTCAGGGCCCGAACCATCGCGGGAGACGGGGCCGCGGGCACTGTCCTCAGGAGCCAGACACGTCGCTCCTCAGGGCAGTGCCAGCAGCACCCGAATTGGCTCAGCCTTTGTGGAGGGGGTGCTGCCCCGAAGTACTGATCTTTAGTTTAGAATAACTTAAAGCTTTATTTGGTCCAATACAATAACATTTATAAACTAATTGTTTTCTTTCAGAGGGACAGTCTTCTTTTTTTTTAACCTAAGCTTTGCTTTCACTTAAAAATTAAAATTCTTAGTGGAGAAAACTCAACACACAGAACTATGCAGACTGTTACGTTAGTGCTTTCCCAGATACCTCATCTGTGAGCACCGCGGTTTGGTGATGCCGCCTCACTGGGTCGGACTCCGCTCCAAATGTGTGTGAGTGCAGAGGCTTGTGTTTTTCACTGTGACATGCAGTGGTGCCTTGGACAGGAGGTGCCTAGAAGCCAAATTCAAGTAATCAGAGTGACTTCTTGTTGGCTTCGATGCTGCATTTTAGTATTTGTGACGTAACAGGAAATACATACCATTCATTCTTAAATATTTTTAAAAGCGTAACTTCAAACGTCAGGTTGAACAAGGCAGCAGGGGTCTCTGTTCATGTGACCGTTTGTTCAAACCCACTATTGAATATAGTGACACTCCTGATAATAACACTCATGATTGTCTGTCTTTGAGTTTTGAAAATAGTCTAATCTCAGTGAACTTGACTTGGACTTCTGGGCAACTTAGGTGTTTACATTTTATACTTTTCTCTTCTTCCTATGTGTGTTATTGTTAGAGTGTGTGCAGAAATTGCAGTCTCCACTGTCACCATCGGTATTTAGCTGGGAAAGGGGAGCAAAAGGGAATTAGACATTGGGAAGTCAGGAGAACCCCCTTAATTGTGTATGGTACATGGTGTAAGGGTAAACCCCCTTAAAAGTTCACCACAGAACCACATCCTCCTGTGCAGGTCTCAAGAAATTCTCTTTTGAGAACACAAGAACTCATTTTCCACTGATGATAGTGTGTGTGCAGAAATTGTGGTCTTCACCACCACACTGATAAATGTGAAAGAATGAGTTCAAAATAATTTCTGTCCCAAGGCCCCACATTGGACTCTCCTTTCAGACTGTCGTTCAGGCTCAGAGGGGTCAGAGCCAAAGAGAAGCACAGCTTTCAGTGCAACAGTCCTCAGGAAACAGAGGATTGGCCACCTTGACAAATAACGTTTCTTTCTTGCAACATGCACCTTCGGTTACCCAGAGTCCTAATTCCATTTCTCATTCCTGGTCTCGGGCTGGTCAGGTGACATGGGGAGATTAGACATTGAATTGAGACCAAAATGGATTCTGGGATCTCTAAAATAATAAAACTATTCTAGGAGGAAAGTTAGTAGGAACTATACTGTGCTTACTTTCAACCCCAGAGTAGCAAGAGTTCAGAGGTTTTGTACCTTACGATTGATTTTGGCAGGAAGATGATCACCTTAACCAGGCGTGACTTACCCCTTTGAGTAGGTACATTTAAGACTGAAAGGATTTCCATCCAACAGGTTGCATGAAATTAACATTGCTCCTTCAGAGCTTTTTCTGGTTCCCCTCTTCACCCGCTCCGCTACTTTTGCATGTACCGCATCCGTTCACTCCACTCACACACAGATCAGCGAATGCGGCTGAGAACAAGAGGCCAGTGTGTTGTCTTGCCCTTGCCATATGGGCGTAGGTGGAATCTCATCCAAAATACTGCAGTTTCTTCTCCTTTCAACCTGAAAATGTCGTAAACGCACAGAACAAGACTGACCCTGCTTTCTTTATGTAGCCATTCACTTTTTATCGTACTATCAGGTATTCAGTTAATGCCTGATGGCACTTGAAGGAAAACAGACATTGCCTTTATCATCTTCCATTAGTCTTTCCCCTCCAATTCTAGATCTTACCAGGTGGAATGTCAGGCCACTTGAGTTGAACACCTCTGATGAGAGAAAAGACCTTTCCAAGCTGCGTGCTTGGTTTTGGGTTTTTTTTTTCCTAAGGGGCTGTGCTATTCCTCCTGCTCTAACCCTCTCCCCAAGGTGCCGTTTTCCCTGTGAGTGCATAGTGTAGTTTCTGAAGGTCTTCCAGATAATGACTCTGATGTGCTGTGTGGCATTTAATGGCCTAGCAGGCTTACCGTCCCAGCACGTATTAGGGCTCCAGTAGAGTTCTCGGCTGTGTCTCCTTTTTGATGTTAAAATAAAGTTAGATTATTTTCTTTCTCTCTTTCTTAAGCAATACTTCGCAGGTGCTGCCCGTTGAAAGTCAGAAAGTGTTTTCTGAAGTATAAACCTCCAGGGAATCTCACTTGTAGGCTCACACAAAAATAAATGCCTTTTCAAAGAGATTTGTGACCACTTAAAAAGCAGTAGAGCAGGAACCCTGCATGTGTGGAGTGAGTCTGAAATGTGTGTGAAAGGCCTGGAGCCCCCAAACAGTTGAGCAGAGGCAGGGAATGAGGTCAAGCAATTTAAACACGGCCCACAGAACTGTGAGGAGTGGGCAGAAAAAGGACTGATTTTAGGTGAAAAACAGCACTTAGAAACGAAACAACAGATGCCCGACAGACCTCCTGGGCTTAAGTTTGAAAAGGATGAAAATCTGAAAGCGTGGAAGGATTTCTGTGCTTGGATTCTGCAAACTCCTTTTCCTGGGGTACGTGAAGTCCCCACGGGACAGAAGCGTAATGTGTCATTGCTCAGCACTTTTGGGGACCCTCACTGGTGATCTCTTCCGAGGGAGTGGAGAGACCAGGGAGCCAGTGCTAATTGGCACGGAGGATACAGACGGGCAATTGGTTTTAAGGCTTGTATTATTTTGTTTCCAAGCCTTTGGAGCCGTGAAAAGCACACGACTCAGCTGGTTTGCCTGCCCAGAGCCCCTGGTGGCAGTAACATTGGGGGCAGGGTGGGCTGGCCATGCGCAGGAGGGGCGTGAGCACTGTGTGTGCGTGCAGCCATGTGTGCGGGTCTGCAGCTGCATGGTGACTTGCTGAAGTGCAGGAGGCGCCACAGCAGGGACCCGTCAGAATGTGGAGGGAACTTCGGGATGGAGGACTGGGAATGGTGGAGTGGTTGGGGTGTATCGTTGAACTATACAGGGTGGAAATGTACTCACTGTATTTCAGTGACCTGTCAACAGACCGTTAATTGTATATGTCTCTGTTCCCACGCCTTATAGCCACATGTGTGTTTAAATTTTGAATGCTTACTAATAGAGCTATTAATGAAGAACACTGACTGGAGTTTTAGCTCAGTCTTGTTGATTTCTTCGGTGTAAGACTGAGTCAGGGGTGAAATTGCCAAAATACGAGTAATGAATAAAAACAGTCCGGGGCTTGAAATATCTTGGGCTTGGCAGTCATTTTCCTGGTGGTTGAACTGAAATTATGAACTTCAAAGTAACTTTGTATTTAACTTGAAGAGCTGTATGTATTGAAGAATGCCTTCATATAATGGTGCTAAAATACGGCGCCCCTGCCTTTCAGGAGCCACAGCAGCCCACGGTTGGCTTTGGTTGCGTCCGAGTATTTAGCTATGGGGACTAAGCCAAAATGAATGTATTTAATGGGTTATCTTCTTGTCTCCATTGTTTTTATAAAAATGTTTTGGTGGTGTCACCTGCGCTTTAGCATCTTCTGCTTTCTGTAATGTGAGTTTGGAGAGGAAACCTTCCAGGCTGCTGCCCTGGGGATGCTGCCCCCTGTAGGCCGGACTGGGAAGGGAGAGGGAGCAGCAGGAACACAGGGCGTGAACCGGGCCCTGCTCCTCTTGGCTCTTTTAGCCAAGTCTGTTTACAATGTAGAATGTCCACATTTGTTAAAAAATTATCCTGCTCTGAAAAGGGAGGCCTTGCCTCCCACCTGCACCTGTGCCGGACCCCCGGCTCGGGGTGAGAATGTCCTCTGTGACTTGTTTAGTCTCATCATCATGGAGGCCCAGACACCTCAGGGCTTGCTGTTAATCCCCTTTAAGGAAGCCTGGCCACCGAGGATTGTAAAAAAGAAAAAAAGTGAAAATAAACCAAGAAAAGGAAAACTCAGGAGGCTGGCTGTGTTGCTGTGGTTCAGTGCCTGCCTTTGAGGACGTGGGGGGACTGGGGTCCAGTG